AATGCTGAATGCTGGGCTAGTTGGTATTGATCTTGGGTTGCCAAGGGCATGGTAGCGCTTTTTAGACGAGGACAGCGCTCGTGTCTGTCTCGTCTTTCTCTCTTTTGTCCTCGTCTAAAAAGCGCTACCCTGCCTTTGGCAACCCAAGTACAAAGTTAAGGTGGCCGGTGTGCAGGGCTCCGTAGATTTTTTGTGTGCAGTGACCGAACAATCTACGCTCGTACCGCCGCAAGCGCCGCACGCACATGCCTTCCCTGTATGAAGATCCGACGTAAACAACCAAACTAAAGCGCTGACGAACGCGCGTGCAAGATGTCATTTATTTTGGAGCATCATTCCCCGCATCATCATTCATGCTTGGGTCTTTTGTCAATTCAGTAAATTAGTTATCAATAGCCACCATTTTCAAGATCAGTAGACACGCAGGTAGATAATAAAGGTTTCTCAAAGATCTGTCGCCGTGCGACCCGCGTCGGGCATGTCGACGCTCAAACCGCCCTCTCTTTGTCGTCGTTCCAATTGCTTGCGTGCCTAGTTTCCTTTCCTCCCGCTTTCCCGGGTCGGCGGTCCCGACGCGCGCGTCTACTTTCCGACGGGATGCGGTCCCGTCGCGTTTGTTTAGTTTCCTCCGGCTCTCCGGCCGGGCCTGTGTCGTGTGCTAAATATCTTCGCTGGTCATCCACCTTTACAAAGTTGAATGTCTCATGATTTTTCGTTTATCTCATATCTGCTCCATATGAATTTAACTCCGCTAAAAAAAGAAAAGGAAAAAAAAAAAAAAAACTTTCCCGATATTCAAGAGAAGAGGGCTCACTATACTGGCCTGCGGTTCACCGCAGAAGATAGGTTTTGTAAGTGATGAGTTTCCCTGAAGGAAACGTATTTCAATCAATGATCCAGAAACGATTTTATCACCTGTAAAGAATGACCTCCGAAACCTTAAGTATAAAATTCCGCTAAAATGATTCTGTGATTGCGGCAATCAAGCGCCTTTGAAAAGTCAATAAACACACAACGAACAAGTTGTTTCTTTCCTTCGAAGTTTCAAATAATACACTATTTTATGTTTAATAAGGCGGACTCGGTGGACGTCTCTTGCATGAATCCTAACACTAGAGTAATAATCCAGTTATCCTTGTTCGGAGACCTAGTAAAGTCAAGAGCTTTAAAAAACTGGTAATATTAAAATAGCTCGGTAGTTCCCCATTCTATCTACACTATCTCCCTTTATGCTAATTTACAACCTTACGTAACTGCATTCGTTTCAAAAATACGCTTGAAACTAAAGAAATGTGAAAGATACGGAATAGCGCCGGTGATATTACGTGAAAAAGCAAGCATTACCTGTCTTACCTGAATATTGTTCGCGTCACAGCTTGCACTATTTTCTAGTTGTAAAAGTACTTAACTTACCTCTGGGTTGACCATTGACTCTACAATATTAAATCATTGCCTATTTTATAACTAAAAGCTAAAATATGTCGGATGTTAACATTACCCGCATTACTGACAAAATGTTCATTAAAGGCATTTGCTAAAGTACCTCCAGTAAGTCGATATACCTTTTGCGGTTATAAATATTGGGAGGTGGTCAATAAAGTCATATCCGATGACAACAAATTATTGCAGTCAGTCGGGTAATCTGGTATAAACAAATCAATCACGGTTTTTTAACGGCAGGTAACGCGCCTGGGTTCAGTGATGACATTTGTACAACCATTTTCACTGCTTATCAAGTAAAACGTTCCTTTAGCAGTGGTGTGTACATACAGATAAACGTTAAATGATCAAACGCAAACAAACTTGCATTCTTTCCTATAACAAGCACCAAAATAATCAACAATTAAATACATATTTTATGTTTTCGTTTGATGGTGTGTACATGAAGACGAAACTTTTCCTTACACAGGAGCTCACTTGCGCGCTTAAGTTTTATTTAAAAATGTTCTGATTGCTGTGCATACATAACAATTCGTAATCAGAATTAAAACACTTAAAATCATCGGCATGTTAACAAATGGAATCTTTTCCCAGAACATACAAACCGCCACCACGTATAGCAGTACGATTCGTGTAAAAAGAGCGACGCAGAGGCCACCTGAAGACATCAGCTTAATCCTTACGTCGCGAGTCTGTTATCATTGTAACTTGGAATAAAAAATCAAATTGATTGAAAAGCTCCTCAAGGTCAACAGCCTTACTTTTCGCTGACTGCACATTTAGATGAAAGCACGTGGTGCATAAAATACAATCTTCGCCTTCGTGACTCTTCAGATTTTGCGGGAGTTAAAAGAAAACATTGGCCATTGTAAAAATAAACATAAAAACAGCCACTAGCACTTTTATTGTTGACATAAGATTTGATCAAATGCTTCATGAGGCAGTCCTTAGAATTTTCCCATTTAGTCAAGGCACTGGAACGTAAACATGTCATTGCACTTTATTCTGCTTGTTTCTTGCGAATTCTGCTCAGAGAGAAAAAACGCATTGAAAAGGTGCCTACAGTGCTGGTTTAGCTGGCTCGCGTCTCGTCAAGCTGTTTCACAGCTTTTTTCCCGTGTCACTTTTTCAGCATTGCTTTTTTTTAAACAAATAAAGGTACTGTTAATACTATTAGAATTATTTTTATTATTAAAACTGGGCATGGAGGCTCTGCAGACATGAAGTTGCTTATGTTTTTCGTCCTCCCGCAGTTCCTGAGCGTGTCGGCGCGTGGGTCCCCAACTAACTGGAGTCACGATGACGGCGCGGTTTTCTTCCGGCATCCGGACGACAATCTTCAACCTGCCAATCACTGGTCGACAGCACCGTCCTGTCTTGGTATCAAGTTCATTGAGAACCTCGTTCACACCACGTCATCAGCAGGGACATCGACAGCGGCAGCTATAATGGAGCTCCCCTTGCGACAGCGCGCCAGTGGGCATGGAGGCTCTGCAGCCATGAAGTTGCTTATGTTTTTCGTCCTCCCGCAGTTCCTGAGCGTGTCGGCGCGTGGGTCCCCAACTAACTGGAGTCACGATGAAGGCGCGGTTTTCTTCCGGCATCCGGACGACAATCTTCAACCTGCCAATCACTGGTCGACAGCACCGTCCTGTCTTGGTATCAAGTTCATTGAGAACCTCGTTCACACCACGTCATCAGCAGGGACATCGACAGCGGCAGCTATAATGGAGCTCCCCTTGCGACAGCGCGCCAGTGGGCATGGAGGCTCTGCAGCCGTGAAGTCCCTAGCAAAAAAGCCGGTTTGAAAACAAAGCGGAAATAGGAAATCCGGTGAAAAAGCAAAGCGGAAATAGTTCGTAGTAGAAAATTCCGGTTTGTAGACACCGGACTTGGCAAAGTCCGGTGAAAAGGCAAAGCGGAAATAGTCTAGAGCGGAAACTTCCGGTTTGCAGACACCGGACTTTGCCACATCCATTGAAAAGGCAAAGCGGAAATAATACAAAATGGAAAATTCCGGTTTCCAGACACCGGACTTTGGCATGTTCCGTGAAAAGGCAAAGCGGAAATAATACAAAATGGAAAATTCCGGTTTGCAGACACCGGACTTAGGCAGGTCCCGTGAAATGGCAAAGCGGGAATAGTCGAGAACGGAAAATTCCGGTTTGCAGACACCGGACTTTGCCAAATATGATTATGGTGCAACACTCATCCAGAGCAAAAGTAAAGTTTAGCGCATTGAATGCAGCTTGCTAACTAAATAAATGCATAACAAATGATTCCACATGCTGTTTCTTTCCATCACAAAATATATTTATTAAGGAACATATGTAGAACATTCAAAAAGTATATACAAACACATTTTTAGATTATTGCACCTAGCACCAATGAGCTTCTTTTTCCCATACATGTACATTCAAAAAGTATATACAAACACATTTTTAGATTATTGCACCTAGCACCAATGAGCTTCTTTTTCCCATACATGTACAAGTGTAACTGGTAGATTTATCACACTCACACTTCATCAGCAGGTCATTTGTAAAGTATTAGCAATCAAACAAAAATCTTTCAAGGTTTAGTAACTTCTCTAAATCAACATATTTATTCCAAATATGCTTCATAGAATCAATGCATCTTTGCTGAAATGGTAAAAGTTCATTAATTGCCAACGGGCTTAAGCTAGATTATTCAAACTCATCATATAGTCGACCGGTTTAACTACACCTAGATAAAATTAATTTCAATTACGGATGACAAAACCCCAAGGTTTTTGTCAACTGTCTCAGGAATCTATTTTGTTACAAAAACTAAATTCAGTTCAGCTCAGCTCTGAAAGTAGGGCAGGTGAATTCCATTCATGAAACAAGTGAACATGCATCATACCTAGGGTTCTTCATTTTCAGTTAAAACCCTTTCTTTCCCGTTTTTTGTGCCCCAAACGAGTTTAATGAAAATCTCGTTAAATCGGATTTCTCCCCGAAAACCCACTTTCTTTAAAGGTAAAAACCAGCTAGAAGTATGAAAATTAGGAGACATTCTAGGACCAGTTCCAGAAGTGTCTCCACTATAGATGGTATCTGCTAAAAGCAAAATCAAGAAAAAAAAAAGGAACTGACTTAATGGTCTGTTGGCACAATACTATTGCGCGCTACGAAATCTAAAACAATTGCGTCGACGATGGTGTATATTAGAAATGGAAGCCATGCTACGTCAAGAAGACATCCAGTTATAAGGTCCAAAAACAGGATATGTGAACATGGACATGCCTCAAATGCATGACAGCATACATATATGTTAAGAATTTTTGAGAGATTCAAAATATCACGTGAGCTCGCGCATTGTTTCTGCCTATTATTCACACTTCGTTGAACTACCTATGATTAGTGCAAGTAAAGCATTTCAGACATGGGAGGTTCTGAACTGTTTTGCTCTGTACTGAAGAGATGTTCAGATATCTTTTCTAAAGATAAAATCTGAAATAACCGGAAAGGTTTCTAGAAAAGTCTGATTTTTCCCCAATTATCAGGTTGGAATATAGTGCCCAATTTTTACCCCCCCTAAAAATGAAGGACCTCAATCATATTGTGCATAAGTATCAGATGCATCTGATTGACCAGTGCCAGCTGCATGCAATTAGTGCACCTGAAACTATGGAAACTTTCAGGTAAATTAGTTTTTCAGGCTACACATCTGTAGTAATGGTTCTCATGGCTGAAGGAACAAATTAGTAACTCTAATGGCTGGCTACTAGAAATTGACTGTTATAGCTAGGAAGGATTTTCTTTTCCAGAATCTTCTTGTCATAACACCACACAGTTTGGTAGAGAAATGAGTTGTCGCAGTAGAAACTTTCCAGCACCTTAGCAGGCGTGCATCTGCCAGATCATGCATGCATCTTGAATCACCTAGCTTTCAAATTATCATTCCGACAGTTTGCCACGACATCAGAAAAAGTTGTCCATATAAATCGTCCCAAAGAGTCGCACCCACCATTTTTTTTTTAATTGCTGCCGTGCAGCTTGTTTGCATGCACAATGTCTTCCCAAGCTCTCTTCACATTTGAGCCCGCTTCAGTAGTGGCATGCCATAGTTTGGATGTCTGGATAGCTGCATTTAGAGCTTTGTCCATACTAATGAACAAGATACAATTTAAATAATCTTGTGACAAACGGCTTTGATGCTTAAAAATACGACACAGTCGTAAAACCAGTGAAAAAAGGAATAATCTTAGCAGCCACCACTGTTCGTGCTGGATTCAAATCCCCTCACTTTCTGAATGACTTAATAATGATTGTTATAAAAGTTCACAAAAAGATACATTTTTCAGCTCTATAGACAAACTTCATATTGGAAGTCTTCCCATCAACTGTAATAGAACAAGCGGACACCTGCACAGATGCTTGTAACAGCTGCTCTTGTACGTTCATGTTCTTTATGAACACAGAATACGTTATAGGGACAGCCTCAAGCACTTCCTGTAGCACGTCCTTGATTGCAAATGTGAAACACCAAAATTCTAACAGCATAAAAGACGCCGGCCGCACTTGAATTTCAATCTGTATCCCTCAACTTGTGAATCCAATGCCTTAGCTTTTGAGATGTCAGGGTCCACGAGAAATATACACTTCATTTCACTTTATCTCTTGAGTTGGGGAACCTCATTGTGTGCTTTGCTGATGGTGAGGCCATTTCTTTTTCTAGTGCACAATGCCAACAACATGCCCTCCCTAAGAGAAAAAAAAAAGAAAAAAAAAAACTAGCAGGAAGCAAATTACAACATATATCTACAAGCTTAACCAGGAACACTCTCTTTCATGTGCTCCTGAGCAGAGTAGAGGACGCGGTGCGAAACAGAATGGCTTGTTGTCACCATCATAGACGCTTCTTTTGTGTTTACTAATGTGGAGAGTAAGACAGCCTAGTCACGCTCAACACTGTTCGCCAAGTCACAAACGTAGGAGATAGCGGGGCTCTGAAATTGAAAGAAAAGGCAAGACGCCTTGATTGCATGCGGCTTGACAACATGTCTGGTCCTGGCCATGGAAATGAAGCACTCCTTAATATGTGTGGGAAGGACACTGCTTGCTGTTGTGACAATTTCGTCACAAACAAGGAGCACTTGTGACCTTAAACACAGGATCTTCTGGATTACGAAATACTCCAGGTCATGTGTCTGTACCACTGAGGAGTCAGACTTGAAAGGTTTTTTGTGTGACCTGCTGCGAAAGATTTGTCCTTTGTAGACAAACCTCGTGTACTCTGCAGCAAGGTCAGGGCACTCATCAACATACTCCGAAAGGGCTGACTTGAGCTGCTCAGAGAGGACGAGCTTGTGCGGGCAGCCAAGCAGACCAACTTCACCAACAGACATAAAGTTCAGGAGCTTAGGGTACCCCAGCATTCTGTTGCACATCTCTTTACAGCTGTCTGACAAGAGTGGCGAGGTCAGAAGGCACTCTAGGTGCTGTTCCATCACGACTCTCTCCACAATCTGGCTTGGCACTGCATTTGCCCCAGTTACCAGTTTGACCAAATGCCCATTTCCACTCTCGAAAACAAATGCAGAGTGGCCCCAGAGTGGTCCCATCTGCCGCGCCGCCTCTGCAAGGTGGAGGAGCTGGTGGACGTTGAAGGTCATCGCCAGGTCCTTGTAGAGGATCCTGGTGCTGGCTACGAAGGCCAACAGGAGGGTCTCTTGAAACGAAAAGCAATAAGCAATAGTCAATAGCGGCCTCGCATTACTCTTGCTCTGCAGCAAACAGCAGCATTCATGCATAAAAGAATGTGCTCCCAAACAACCAATCTAGATTTACTGATAACATTCACATTCATCGAGACTAGCATAGCATAAACAACACTTGTCACCTCAAAAAAATTAAGCGTGACTAATGTAGAACTCATATGCTGTTCAAAATAGCTCTTACAACATTGGGTTGCAGAGAAGAATGGTGCTTTTTCATATGACATATGTAACTTAATCAAATAAAATATACTGGAGCTTAAATGGTATGATGATACATCACATTAAAGGAATAAGCCATTACAAACCTAAATTTGATTTACTTCAGTTATTGAAATGAAGACAAGAATATATACATAGATTTTAAAGGGGTACGGAAACAAAAATTGAAATATTCAGATTTCGTTCAGAAATGAGTCAAGCATGACGGATAAGAACCGTAAATGATAACCGCACGTTTGTATTTTGAACGATTGGCTCTATTTTTCGTTCCAAACGGTGCACTCGAGCAAGCGCTCGAAGAGAAGCGAACAGAGAGCGCGATGCGTCATGGGATATCCGGCACAAGCAAAAACAGAACGAAAAGATTCCCCGCGTTCGTGACGTAGCAAGGCTGGCGTGATTATGAGCTTTGCCCTTGGTGGCGTTGTCAGCGTTGTGGTGGTGTCAATAGCGTCAGCGCGTTATAACCGAGCCGTTTGAAGTGTTCGTGGAATGAGGAGCGTGTGGCTGGCCCAAGGAGCATGTAGCTTCCACAACACTGTCAGCTTGGGGCTGAACGGGGTGGGGAAAGCAACTTTTTTTCGAGTTTTGAGCGACGGGCTAATCTTCTAGGGGGAGAATGGCTGTTTTCGTTTGCACGAACGAGGGTCCGAAAAAGAGGGGAGTCCTTCCTTTTTGTCTTCTTGGACCGTTTGGTACAATGCACGATTTGTGAGGTCAGGAGGAAAGCTAAGAAGGAAAACATTGAAATGCCAAAGAGCGGAGCTGCTCCGAAGGAATCTGCTACGTCACGACTACGTAGCAGATTCCACAACGTTGCTAGACTACCTCCCAAATAGGCTCCGCATGCATCCACCAGGTGCACACTGAAGATTGTTTATTTAGCTTTAAAATTAGTTTTCTTGTGCTTTTCGACGGAAGACTGGTGTTTTTGAGGTTAGGTGCAGCATGCAACACATTAAATCTAGAAAATGAGCGCTGAAATTTCGTTTCCCTACCCCTTTAAAGGGACACTAACGAGATTTTTGAGATCATGTATCCATGGGGACAGCTAATTAATTCTATGTGAGCAAGCATCCTAAGAATTAAACAATATCAGAACTGTGCATGACCTATTTCCCTATAAAAAAAATGTGATCAAAAGTTTGCTGTATGCCCCTTTTCTGCAAATTTTCGCAGAACACTAGCTTGCAGCCGATGCATCCAAACAAAGCCGAACAACAAACGCACTTGCCCGCCACTTGCGAGTGATGGCTTCTGGAGAATTCATCCGAGCAAGGCATGCGTGCAGATTGAACTGCACACAAGCTGTTTTTCTTTTTTCAAGCTGCACATTCTCTTATTGTTGGAGTTAAAATATAACAAAACGTAACCGCATTCCACAGATAAGAAATCTGTAACGGAACCTAGAGACATGAGAAGGAAAGCGTGTTCCAAAAGCGTCACTTGCAAATGTTCCGAGAAGCAGACGAGCGCATGTATCATTGCCACAGAAAACTAGAAAAACCATACCTAGTTTCCGGGTATTTTCCATAGTCACAAGCTTAACATGTGGTTTTATCATCTCAAACATAGAGTAACTTTAGATAATAAAACTGAACGTGAATGGCAACTACTACATTTTATAACAAAAAAACACGAGGCTTGAAAAACCTCTTTAGAGCCCCTTTATTGAGCCGCTCCAACGATTTTTTGACTGGTCTGAAACTTGCAGCGAGGCTGATCTCAAACAATGTAGTAGAATGAAGAAACAATTATTTGTTTACAAAATTTTCATCATTTCGAAGGTTAGGAGCAAATTAAAATTACAAGGTCATCCAAGAAAAAGGACTCTCCATGGAGTATCAGGACACTCCAATGGAGGACCATGGAGCCGCTTCTCAGGGGGCCGCATCAAATCGGTGTACTTCTAGTAGTTTCCACTGTTTTCAAACTCTATTTCTTAGTTTACTGCTCCCAATGCTCGCAAGAAGTAACGTCAGTAAGTAATTATTACGTGTTCAAAGACAAAATGTTTCATGGATCTGGCCAATCAGAAAGCCAGGTCCGTAAACGTCATCTGCTACGCGCGTTTCGCACCATGCAGCACCACCGTACATCACACTGTTCCACACCTTGTCAAATAAAATATGATTCACTATTATTTTGTAGTGTTGTCTTGGTCCCCCAAATTTCCTGAAGCACTAAAAAGGCATGGGACACAAAAAAATCAGGCGCATAAATACTGCTTGAGTGGCCCTTTAAGACTACTGCTGCTCAATTTCACACTTGCCGTTTACACGACTGCTACTGCAAACTCTGTGAACTGATCTGCTGCAATTCTAGCTATAAGTTGTAGTCTCGAACACCGGCCGACAGAAGAGAGAAACTGGATTAGGCCCACATGCTTGGATTTTGCTATAGTCACTATTGGCCGTACATACTAAGGCAGCCATGGTACATCGCACCATATGTTTCGCAACATCCTTAAAGATTGGAAGTCCATTTCGCCATTTGCGGTTTTGACTGTTGTATACTTGAATTTCTACTGTTCTGCACACATAGAGCAGTATGCACACAAAAAAGGCTAGTTTTGTGTTCAAATTCCTTTTTGTATTTATTGCGCTTGAAATCTATTTAGAGGTCCAGCAGAAATCAAAGTTTAATGGGGCTCAAGTCACAAGAAAAGAAGCATATTTCAGGCGTTTCCAGAAAATGTATTGCTATATGAGCAGTCTTTGGTAAATAGCACACATAGAAGGAATTTCTGAAAAAAGCAGAAGCCTTGCAGTGTTTGGGGTCAACACAAATAAAGCTGTTGATGAAGGCTCCTTGACATTACACTAAGGTTTTTCTTATTCAAGGCAAGAATTGAATTCAAGGTTTTCAGTTGTTACCGATTTCTAGAAAACCGTTTCAGGAGTTACTTTTTGTGGTTTATCAGTACATACTGAAAACACGGAAGCCTATAAACTATTGACCCTCCAACGCCGAATTACATGCTCTCACCAGCTTGGTCGATAGAAGACGGAGTCAGCTCCTCCCTCAGGAGTAGGTGGATGGCCTCAACAAGCTTGGCAAGGTGGCTCCAGTACCGCAACGGGAGGATCCCCTGTGTGCAGGGGAGGCAGTAGAAGAGGAGCCAGTGCCTCCACTCGGACGCCTTCCAGTTGACACGAGTTCCCAGCGACCTTGGCAGCCTTGTGAAGCAGTGGGGAGGCTTGATCAGAAGTAGACGCCTGTCCAGTGCTGCGACTGAACTGGGGCTGCCTACGATAGAATTGTTGTAGATAAAAAAGAGGAAAAGGTTTCAGAATCCCCAATCCTCAAGAAATAAAGGAGACTAAGATAAAAAAAAAGGGAGATGATCCAAGCCGAGGCCCAAAGCAGACACTCGTAAAAAGGGCAAGGCATAAGCAATTTGCTTATACGTACAGAGCAGCAATGGCTCTCCAGCTCTTTAATACTATTTGACATTTCTTATTTCTCAACGTCAAAATGAGTGAAAATGCTGTTGTGTGATATGAGTGATAGGGACGCAGCAAACTATTTCAAAATAGAACTGCATATAAAACTATGTGAATATAAAACTGTGAAACTCAGACTTCCATTAGAATCCAAATAATTTCTATAACTAGAATCTTAAAGAAATTCAAGGCTGTTCAACTCAAACTTTCAGACATCTCAAGGACTTCGAACTTGAAATTCAAACCTTAGTGGAATAAGAAAGTTGCAAACTTCGTAAATTGAAGCCTCAAAGAGGTTTTTACCAAACCTCTTAAATTTGAGCATTGGGAGGTTTGTGACGTCTCTATACACCAACTCATGTTTACAAACAAACCGGAGCGCTTCTAGGAGACGCTACCGGCGCCGCGCATGCGCGATGGGTGTGTGGTCAAGAAGCTCGCCGTCGCCCATCAACAAACCATTGGAATGCAATGGTGTCGGCGTCGGTGCGAGTACCCCTGCCCTTTTTTGCGTTCGAATTGTTGATTCCACGTCTTCCTGGCGATGTCCGACTACTTGAGCGGCGTCAGCGAAATTACCGAGGCTCGTTACACCACAAAACCTCGCATGAATGATGCGACATGTGGCGATTCATTTCGCATGGACGCCGCGGTATGCACGCTAAAGCCCAATTCGCATGATGCGATTTCGCTCGCAATTTTCAGTCGCGACGCTGCTCGGAATGCAAAAATGTGAACCGTAGCTGAGATGGTCGACGTCGATACTGAAAATCGCAAGCAGAATCGGACCAAGTGAATTAGGGATAACAAGTTGGTGATGGTCACTGCTAACAATGATCAACATCTTGTATCTACTGTTTTTTTCGCAAAAAACATTTTTTCGCAGAAAAAATGTTTTCTGCGAAAACACGAGCCATGCTCACTTTTCAAAACTATTCTGTCGTGAAACATATAAGACACTAATACTTCCATAAAAGTTTCCAGGTTACAGAATGCATAACGAAATTTTAGAAGGCAACTTTCGTTTTATAGCAGACGCCCTGCACCCAATTGCTTCCGCAACGAAGAATAGCCTTGCAGATTGCGAAACGCTGATCACATGAACGAAGTTTCCCCGCGCTTCCTCGGCGACCGTGAGTAACCAAGAGATCGTTGAGATGTGTTGTCGTCTGCTCGAATGACGCTGATCAGGTCATTTTTAATTAAAAAGAAAAGGTTTCTGTGCTTCCTTCAAGGTTCAAAACTACTAAATATGTTTTTTTTTAATACATGCAGATAATGATACAGCCATCATTTATTCTAAAAACTGCCCAGAAAGCTAAAAAAAAAAAAAAATCTATTTCTAAGTGCATTTTTAGGGGTAGTCTGACACCGTCGGAACCGTGGGCATTCACCGCCGAGAGATGGCATTCTAGATTATGCTACTCTGCTACCAAAGGGACCTATGTATAGAGTGCTCTATCACCGACAGATGTGTTTACCATCCTCTAGCTCCCAGGTGCTGAAAGTGTGCCCGAACTGATGACGAAATATTTCATTGAGGAGCCGGGCTGTCATGCTATTGGGTGTCGCGATCCTGGCAGTCCCTTCCAAAAGGAAGCGCTGACACAGACGAGCACCATGCCTCTGTCATATATCACAACTTGTATCTGTCCAGTTACTGTCGATTGTTGTGCTAAGAAGCTAGACACAACAAATCCAGCATCTGTCATATACATCTTTGTTGCTATACTACTACCACTGTGAACGTGACGTTTGACAGCATTTCACTTCCCTGATTTAATCAGGTGAGAAACAATGGATTCAAAATGAGAACACAGTGAACACTCCGGTTGGAGGTAAGTCCTAGGCACCGCAGCAGCATCATAGAGTGCCTCCATGTGACGCAGGGATGCTATGATTTGTGTCTATCAGACGAGTGCCTCAACGTGGAGTGGTGCAATGTGACAGCATCATTGCCAACTCAACGCACGTCGCAGATCCATGGCACAGCATGGTACTAGACCATCTCACCAAGAACTTCCCATATGCAAATGATTCATCTCCTGACGAAGCAGTTCATCATGTACACCGACACCATGAGGGGGCGCATGGATGAAAAGCGAGACATGGTCAGGGTTCTCTCCACAATGGGTGGCACTGAGTCTCTTGTCTGTCACTAGTTTGGATAATCTCCCATTTCTACGACGTGGCTCACAAATTTTATGGATTAGCCTACTTTCCCACGGAAAGAGGGCCCAGACATTTTAGGTACTGTTTCTCTCAAACAAATAGGGGCAAACACCTTGAAGTTAGCGGAAAGTCTTCAAATAAAGCACCAATGTATGCTCAAATTAATTTTAGCATTACAATATTCTTGACAATTTCATCACTCAAAAAATGTATTAACACTTCAATTATGCTTAGGGTTCTGCAAATATAGAGGTTGGAAGAGCTGAGAAGCAGCTCGCAATCCACAAATTCTGAGTCTTTCGGATAAATCCGAATCGGCATATTTTTTCCGGCGAGTGCTTTTCAGATTTTATCGAATTTCTCCAAAAATGCAGAATTTTAATGATGCCTTCAAACTTACCTATGTAGAAGCGCTCGTTGGAGTTAGTGGAGGACAACAGCAGCTCTGTGATCTGGCGAGTGACGCCCAGCAGCACGCCATGCATATACTCCACCGTGAAGCCCCACACCAAGTCAAAGTGTGGGAGGTTCACGGCGGGTGAGGGACCCTTGTAGCCGTTGATTGTCATCGAGGTCTCCAGTGCCAGGTCCATGTCACGTCGGACACCTTCTGATGTCCTCCCGGGCACATCCTCGAATGAAAGGAACCTGAGGCTTCCTGGAAAGTTATGTTGAAATTATTGAAATAGTCATAAAAGCTTCAACACATCTGCTTTAATTATCACAAATAGGCACTTACCGTCGACATAATCTCCTTTGATGTGGCACCACGGACATCCGAAATACCCGTTGAAGAGCACAATGTTCTGAACGGAGGAGCGTGCAGGGGCGTCTAAGCAGAAGCACAGGACGAATGCTTTCGATGAGTGCCGAGTCGCTTGGTGCTGCCAGAGGACTGGTTCCATGGCGTTCACTCCTTCGACGAACTTCCCGAGAAACAAGGTCATATTCGGGTGCCCTTTCCCGAACCAAAGCCCAGCTAGGGTGGAGAGCCGGAACCGTTCAGGCACTGGCAACTCGTTGACCGTGAATTGGATAGGCCACACAGATGCTCCAGAAGATGTGAAGACCGGACTCCCATCGGTGCTTACTGTCAACGTGAGGTCGCTACCTTGTACAGTCCCAGACGCCTTGAGTTTGGCATACGCCTGGCCATCGGTAATGTCCGTGATGGTGCTGGCTGTCCCCGGGTCCCTGGCTACCTGGGTTAGCTTTGTGTGGAGAGCTGGCTTGCTTCTCTGTACGACATGGTTCAGCTGTTTGTGGATGTCAAGGACAACAAAGAAGGCACCGTCTTTTTTTGCATCATTCAGACTGGTGGTCTTCTCGCATGTTGGACAGATGCCAGCTTCCTCTGCAATGTCCAAAAGGTCATTGCATGCACGACAGTAATAGTGCCGCACAACTGCCGACTCTGTCTCGGATCCCCAGAGCTTCCGAAAGAGGTACTTGCTGGGGGGCAGGACGGCTGGCTCCGGTGCAAAGAAGAAGTTGATCATTACAAGGAGGTTATCGAGGCCCTTCCAGGTCAACCCTTCGCTAGCCACAAACGCCATTATCATGGCAACTGCAGCGGCTTTTGTGGTTGTGGAATGGGGCAGCGTTTCCGCCCCGAAAGCCCGTAGGCTTGCTGCTATGAGATCCCCCTCGTCCACCAGCGGTGGTCGTTCCGTGGTCTCCTCAGAAATGGGAGGAGTTTCTGTCCTTGACTCAACTGTTTCCTCTTCTTCACTCTCGGGAGAGACAGGCTCTTCTGCAGCCACAGTCGCTGGCACATCGAAATCAGAGTCAAGCTCTTCGCCATCACTGGGGACGTCGTGGGAGTTGGCAGCTGTGGGGTCATGGCTGCTCTTTGCCGCAGCCTCCTTCTTGGTACGGAATAACGTGGTCCTCGGTAGCTTGAAGGGTGCTCCCTTCTCCATGTACAGGAGTCGTCGACGTCGGGTCGAGTCCATGGTAGTAGCTCAAAAAGTCATGAAAACTCAAACTGCACACAGCACTCAGTACAGAAATTCTCTCAGGTGGAACTATCGGATACAAAACGAACGAAAAGGAGCCAAAATGAAAGAAACACAAAGTAGATTAACATACCCGAGGCAGCAGCACGGCTAGGAAACGCACGCCAGCGTAGCTCATGGCGTCGGAGACGCAGTCCACAAAGAATCAACAGGGGTATGATTAACCAGACTAAAAACGAGACATAAAATAAGGAGTAAAGCTATACGCACTCCGGAATGTAAAATAAGTGCCGACGAGAGGAACAAAGCCGAGCTCCGAGGTAATTAGACGCGCATTACCGAGACGGCAGACGAAGGAGACACAAGGACGACGGAGTCGCAGGAATTGAGTTCACGCACAATCCACGTAGCCACTGATCATATTAACGTAGAAATGGGAATCAAAAATCTCCACAAAATAAAACGGGAAACAGCGAACGCAAACGCCAGAACGCCGGCACGCCGGCATAAATGAATAGATAAATAAATGCAACGGGTATATTTATGTATTAGCTTCTTAACTTGCGCCACCTAGCCTAACCTATCGCGAGAGAATCCCTTTAAACTGAACGACCATACAAAGAAAAACAAAAGTACTATTTTGTTCTGTTCTTTTTTTTTTTTTGTTGTTTGTTTCCCTTGTCTCAGAGCTGCCTCGTACGGAAATTCTCTTCGCGACTGACATAAAAGTGATGAAAATGTTTGCAATGTATGGTTTCGGTTTCGTGTAGCCATGTTTAAAGTCAACCCGGTTGCTGTGACCAGGGGAAGTCGACCTTTCTCCCGAAAACCGGCTCCTGTGGTTCCCGCGCATGTCCCTCGGTTCTCGCGCATGTCCCTCGTGAGACCTGTTTCTTTGTATCGCTTTGCCTTGCCACCGTTCGCTTTCATCGAATGTTTTTCGTGAATATATCTTTCTAATTTTCCGCAGTTCTGTTTTTCGGTAGCCGACGCCGCGGAATCGTCGTCTACTGTTTTCTCGGTGTGATTCGATCACTTTAAGTTTGCGCAGTTCTGTTTTTGTTGGTCGACGCCGCCGCTAAGTTTTCGTCTTGTTTCTCGCGTTGATCGATATTTTTTTTTTTCTTTTTTTACTTTTGCAGTTTTGCTTTTGTTTGTTGACGACGTCGCGACATGTATTATGTCTACGTTCGCTTTCCGTCCGACAACGAGAAGGCGATCATGCCTGTTAGTTTGGTAAAGGACTATGACCCGAAATCGAACACCGACATCCCGACGGAGCTTGTGCAGGCCTATTGGAGGTCTGAGATCGGGACCGAGGAAGGCTACTACGATGCGAGGGTCATACTCGTGGCAGGTGAGTTGTATTCAGCTCTTAAAAACCTTTTTTTTTTTCTTTTTTATTATTATCTAGTTTAACTGTACGGATCACGTAATCTCGGTGTACAAATCTCAGAAACTGAAACCCTAAAATCGGATCCGTATCGTTTCGTCGACGCCAGTTTTGTTGACAGCGCATTTCGTGAAAAACTCGTTACGTCGATAGCACGCGTATAGGGAAACTTCGGCGCGCGTGGATCACTGGGACCCGCGTTGATCCATGCGGACAACCAACTGGGTCAACCCGTCCACACCGCTTCGCTGCGACAGATAACTCAATACGGGGGGGGGGGATCGGTGGCCGAGTGGGCTGAAGCGCACACCCAGCTCGACGCGCGTGGAGCGAAAGCTCGCACCTCTGAACCCAGGGATCCTGGGCTCGAGCCCCACCCCTGCCCGTTTCGATCTGGATGAGTATCGTACCGGCGTGCGGTCGTGTATCACTACTGCGTGGTGCACGTTAAAGATCCCAGGCTAGCGGTTGTACTGCACTGACTAAATTGCTCATCTACAGCGTGTGACTCGTCGCAACTTTAATGGCTGACCAACACTACACGCTGTATAAATATCCCCACAACCCCAATTATTATTATTATTATTAACTCATTACAACAAAAAAAAACAAAAAAACGAAAAGCTAATCTGAGCTGTTGATGTAACAAACTTCTCATGAAACAATCTGTCGATGAAACATTGTTCGATAAACTTATAGATTGCCATAAGCTTAAAATCAGATGCAAAAATTGGCGTCTGCTCGCCATAAACTATGGCATCTTTTTTAGGACAAAAAGTAATTTTCGAGAAATTACGTGCCAAATAACGAGTGGCCACGAAGAACTCAGGGTCGATTTCGACCACTTGGGGCTCGGTTGCAAGGCTCCTTTTCCATGAAAATTCTCTTCACTTCGCGGGTACCTCGGCCGCGATGAACCTGTAGTTTGTATGAACCCGCCCCGCCTGCTGGCGATCTGTACATCGGTGGGCTGCATCTAGGCTTTTATTTGTTTTTATGCAATGGCTAGTGTTGCGTCAGTCGTAGCAAAACAAAAACTACAGAGTCTATCTCGTAACCGAGAGTAGCTGTAAGCATGAAATGATTTGCAGGGCTGCAGATGCTAGTGCCGTCTGTGTGTTAGCATGCGCATCCCTTCACACATACACAAACATACACGCGCTCCCGCCTCCTAGGCACGTCCCTGGTGTTGTCAGGAAATATGGGGCTCAAGTTCCCAGACAAGCTTCCGTCGAGTATCAGCCATTGAATCAGAATGTATTGAGCCCCCATTCATTGTCTTCTTCCTTGGGCCCCCATCTCCGGGTGTTTTTAGAAGACTATCATCCACTTAACCTTCAGTTCCAGTGCATCGGAAGCTATGACCCAGTCCAGCACCGCGAGTATTAAGGCCCGTTCACACTCTTGCAACCGAGTTCGACCGAGAGAGACTTCTTAGGACCGGATGCGCTAGAGCGGAGCTGGTCCTAAGAAGTCGCAAGAGGCTTAAAAACCGGTCTGGTCTCTCTCGGTCGATGTCGATCGCAAGAGTGTGAACGGGCCTTTACGTGTCCTACTGGTTGGCTGGAGCGACATGCAGAGCTCTAGATCATATGACACTCTCTCAACGTTGGATTGGCTCGGATTGCTTGTAGCATCCGCTGCACTCTGATTGAGGGTAAAACAGAGTACAGGACATGAGCCACAGTGACAAGCAAAGAGCGTGCATGCCAACCTCGCAGCACTGCGGCCTCCAAAATCTATGGTGTGCAAAACTAAACCTACTGCATGGGCGACAGCCTTTCCGTAACACCTGCACACCCTACACGTCCCTACCCACCCAAAGTGAAATAAAAAAATGAAAAAATATCAAATATCAGCAAAAAGCCCTACACACCAACAAGCTCTAGACAGTGGCGTTACGAGGGTCAGCGGCACCTGGGGCAGTAGCCCGCCGCGATTCCCCCCCCCCCCCGCATGGCCCGCCGCGATTCCCCCCCCCCCCCCCACGGCTGTCGCGTGGCTTGCCGCGACTCCCTCCCTCCCTCCTCCTCCTCCTCCTCCTCCTCCTCCTCCTCCTCTCTCCCCCCCCCCCCCCCCCCCCCCCCCGCTCTCGTGGCCTGCCGCGACACCCCCGCACCCGGGGCGGTCTCCCCCCCCCCCCTTGTGACGCCACTGGCTCCAGGTCATGGTCGCGCACAGCTGACACGGAATTGAAAACTAGGGCACTCAGAAATCCAGGCGAGCTTCCACTAAGCACCAGCCATTGCATCGGAATGTATCAAGCCCCCATTCATTGTCGTCTTTTCTAGGCTCCTGTATTGCGATGCTCATAGCATCTTCGAACATGTACCACTGTAACGAGCAGGGAGTGTACGTACCACCCTCGTAGCACTATGGCCTCCAGTATCACCTTGTGTGTACAGGTCTTTCCACACTAGCAAAGAACTCTGCACACCAGGAAACTCGCAGGTCATGGATGGACATGCACAGCTAACCCAAATGTGAAAACCTTCATCAAGTAATCGTGGCATAGCTCACTCGGTAGTGCGCACGCCTCTCAGTCCGCTGACACGGGTTCGATGCCTGTCGTGAGATAAATTGTGTTTCGAAGGAGTTTAGGAATAAATTTTGAAAGGGTTTCACAATCAATTTCGAAAAGGTTTTGTGAGAGGTTTTTGAGAAGGTTTGGCAATAATGAGAGCTATAAGCATTTCATGTTAAAAATCTAACTTACGTTCGACATAAGTTTAATTTTTGTTTTGAATTGCGTTCGCTAGTATTTTGTTGACATAGTTTTTGCACACGTGTTCAATGCCCACTTTTGGAAGGCTTTGTGTGCATGTGCGTGTTGAACATGATTACCCAGGCCATTTTGGTTGCTCGTTAGCACTCAAACTTTTTAGTATGAATGCTCTTCTGTTCAACTTTTTTCTAAAATCCTGGTTCTTGTTCACGATAGAAATGACAGAACTGGTATTGGCGAGCTACTGGACGTCCAACATTCTGGGAACTTTCAATCAAAAAAAATTTTTTTTTTTTTTTTTTTTGTAGCTTGCTACTTTTAGCACTATGCAGCCAAAAGGGATGGGACGTGCCATCAGCATTTTACCCAAATAAATTTTGGGTAAAAGACACGTTTGAACCTAAGTAGGTTTTGAGTTATGTCAGATATAACGCTATCCTCTGTATTTTTTTTTAAAGTCAGAGCTAGGGCATCTGCACTTTAGTGGGATATGTATCAGTGAAATTTCCACTCACTTCATGCAGGCACTGACCTCTCCAACGTATTTAGCCAGGCACAAAAAATGTGCACTTGCATTTCGGGAAAAATATGTGTCAGCGTCTTCAGTTGCTATCTGTTTTGCCTTTTGTATTGGCAGAATCGAAGAAAGCGCTCCTCGAAGAGATGTCCCAGAGGAAGCGGATGGTAATTCCACGGATTTTTGAGGGGCCGTTGGAAGTAAGTAGAACTGTTTTTCTTTTAAGAGACCGGTCTAAAGTTTTGCTAAGTAGTAACCTCAGTACATAAATCCTAAATGTTCGGTCAACCCAGAAGGGGACTGCATTTTTGTTCCTGTTTGCTAGCTTTTAGATAAAACAAATATTGACACTCGAGTTAATAACAATTGCATTGATGAGGGTTAGTCAGTGGGAAGCTAGTCTGCGTCAAATGGGCTTGTCTGTAGCTGGGTTCTTTAACATCTATCACACACAAATGATCACGCAAATGTATGCCGATACAATATCCAGATAGAAACAGGCAAGGATGGAAATCAAACCCAGCTTCCTTGCATTGTGCAGCATGAGCGTCGGCTCCACAAGCTCTGAGGTCTTGAACACAACATACAGTCAAAGCGACTTTGACATTAAAAAGATTTCAGAAACTGAATCAGTGGTGCAAGTAGGAAAACCAAGTGAACTTCACCAATCAGTATGTTATATCTGAATGTCTGTTGTATAACCAGGCCTATTGTAACAAATTTATACTGTACATAGATTAGGCATTGAAAATAGTATTGCTTGATCAATCTATATTTACTCGCACTGTACCTTGAAGATGTGGATTGCTAACCATTGTTACTTTTTATTTGGTGCGGAATATCCGCCATTGCATATGTTTCTCTTTGATGGAAATTATACATCAGCACAGATATCTGCAGAATATTTAGCTAACCTGTTTCTGTTCCCACTTTGCACATGTTTCACTTGTTTTAGGCTTCCACGTCAACAACAGGTCCATCAGCCAAGGCTCTCAAGCAACAGAGGGCTGCCGCAAAGAAACGGCAGCTCACGAGCCTCGTAAGCAAAAGAAAGCTGGAGACCTCGAGCGACGACGAGGACCCTGGTGTCGTCCCCAAGGCGATGCTCAAGGAGGCCGAGGAGACAATAAGGTCTCTACGCTTAAAGCTAGGCAGGGCAAGGGAGCCCAGCACGTGCCTTGCCTGTGCTCAAGCTAAGGCGGAGCTGAAGCTCTCCCAGGCGATGGTTCGGCGCCTGCAGGAGGAGGTGGAGGACCTGAGGCGGACCAACAGTCGCCTGACAAATGCTGTCCTCGATAACATTGGCAAGTAACCTAATCACTTTTACTTGTAGCATGTTTCACATTTATGCTTTGAGATTATGTTCTTCTCTTTATGCTGGTCTGCCATTCTCCTATTTGGTTGCAAGAGCATATTGATTGATGCAGGGATAGCCAGAGAGCCAGTGCACCAAGACAGGGCGCCAGTGGTGGCTGTTGCTGGGCCAGTGCCGCCTGGCCCCATTAGAGTGCCCCGCAGAAGTGCACCGAGCATTGTAGATGCCCCAGGTAAGAGCATGAACATAGAATTTCGTTTATCGAAAGATACTTCTCAAACTGTTTATTTGTGGTTTTAGGAGAAAGTTGTTTTTCAAGAATTGCACCAAAGAAAAAGCTGCAACGGTCTTAACTTGGCTAAGAAAACTGTGCGGTCATATGTGCTACAAGTGTCTAGATTGTTTTGTTTCTAAAAGTTTGTAATATCCTAAATTTGTAAATGATAGGACCTTTGGCAAATTTGGCAGTCTCAAGAATTCTGCGCAGAAAATGGAGGTTCCTAAAAATGACACAAAGATCACCATTTCTTTCTATCCCTGCTGTCTCGACGCTTGCTCAACTGTGCAAAAGTTATTCCTACCCCGACCTACACGGACGTAGTGCTGTTGCCTATCCGACTTCCAACGGTGCGAGGTTGTTAAGCGTCATAGGGACCAGCTTACTTGGGAAATTCAAGAGGCTGTTGAGATAGCGAGGTTAGATGCAGCATGTGTAAGCAGTCCTTCTGTGGCCCTATCAGGCAAAGAGATGAATTTTCTGGTTCCCTGACTTGCTCGTTCTTTAGCACATACTCTGTACGGCAGTGTCATGGTGCTTTTTTTATATATATATCATTGTTTTATTTCTATTGGTGATGCATCTCATGGGCTGAATTCTTTCTTCTCTTTTGTTCAGCGCTACGTCCGTGTCACTTCTGTGTCTGGTCCTCGTCTTTTCGCGCTGTTTTTAATTCCGAAGTATGTACCAACTTGCCCAAAGCTCAACTTTAATAAACACAAATTAATTTTATTTTATGAATGAAGAGGAAAGCCTGCGTTTTTCCTTCTGTTTTATACCAAACTAACTTTTATGAGAGCGTATAATAGGGCCTTTCACTCAGAGTTTACATGGTTGATTACTTCTGACTGGATTTTTCATTTGTTGAAACAGCAACCAGACTTCCTCTGGACAACAGGCCAGAGTCACCGGACCTTGGAGAGCCATCTGGCTCTGTATCTACAAGGAGCCTGTCACCACCGCCCCTGGAGGTGGTTGAGGTTGACATGGTGCCGCCTGCAGAGGTGACACCTGCTGAGGTGCCGCCTGCCGATGTGACGCCTGCTGAGGTGCCACCTGCCGAGGTGACGCCTGCTGAGGCAACACCTGCCAGGGTTACGCCTGCTGAGGCGACGCCTGCCAGGGTTACGCCTGCTAAGGTGACACCTGCGAAGACGCCTCCCGAGGTTCCTGCTGAGCTGCCTGCCGAACCTCAAGGTATATATATGTTTGCATAAATATAGTTGAAAATCGAAACCTTGTGTTACATTCAGCTTGATAACTGCCAAGTCAAATTTCTGCCCTGTCCCCTTTCGCTTTCATCTCCTTACCCATGTACAGTCGCCGACTGATTTTTCAGATTGGTGGGGACCCCGAAATTGTCAGAATAATCAAGTGGTCTGAAAAATCGACTTCAGTCCAAATATCAAATTTCCACATATGTTCTGCTGCGTATTGGCGGCAACATCGTAAGCAGCATACCACTTTAATGATAGTGACCACAGCACCCTCGTGTCACCTCACTAGAAGTACCGGACGGGCTGACACTACTTCCACAATTTTGTGTTGTCACAAAGCATGAAACAAGTGAAAGCAATTGGCTGATGGTGGGAGAATCATCAACAAGTGAAAGTGATTGGCTGGTTTGCTAAAAATGTTTTGAGGGCATGCATTGCTGAAGTCTCACCCTATCAGCAACTGTAGCATATGTTTTGTCTAACCAAATGCATACTTCCTGCAGTTACTACAACAAACAAATGGGGTTGAATGATTTGACTAACATAGCTCCTTAGCATAGGGCTAATGTAGGTGATTGATGTTTTAAAAGAATATTATGCTTTCTTTATACTTCATTGCATGTCATTTAGGATAATCTGGTGTGGCAAACTTTTTCTTTTGATGCAAAAGTATTAACTGTACCATGGAGCGAACTGACGTCACAAGCTTTTGAAGCTGTGCCAAACGACATTTTCCCCTGTCCCAATGGAGCAAAGCCTGTCGTGTGTAGCAGAAATCTGATGTATGGGCTGTAATTGGCTGGCGTGCGTTATAGTTTCAAGGGGTAAGGTTCCCATTGGCTCTCGCGCGGCGTTGTTCCCAAAAAGCCACCAGAGAAGCCCTCTCCATGGCGGCACAGTGCACACAGCGACCCGGCCGCCTTCAAGAGTGAGCAGCTGGCCACAGAGCCCGCCCGGGCGGACTCCGGAGAAGCTACGCGGCCACTTCACCTTCATCAGAGCGCACGCTCGGCCGTCGGACGCTACCTCGGCAGTAGCGAAACGTGGCCAACCACGCCAGTATACTGCAGACAAACTAAGGGGCAGGAGAATGACATTCATGCTTTCGCATTCACAACTCATAAGTGCTTAGGTGTCCTCGTAATTTTTTGTTATAGCTGAGGTATGTCCTAAAGGCATCAGCAAATCAAGATCTTGATGTTGCTTGCCTCTCTAACCTTTAATTTGCTCTCCTAGGTGCTGCTGTGGCTGCTCCACCTGGTGAGGCTGAGGCCGCCTCTTGGCCTCCTCCTCTTGCTGTTCAGGATGGTGAGGTACGTACCTGGGCCTACAAGGCATTTTGTCTATCGTTTTCACTCCACTGGCTTATTCTGGAGAACAGACTATGGCACAAAACACAAGGATGCAAACAGGGAGGCACGCAAGGAGGGACAAACACGGGTACTGACTTAAAAGTGCACTAAAGACGCTTCTGAGATTGTCTCTTCTTGGTGATAACACATTCGACGGGCTCTAAACATCTTAAATATCCGAAAATTATGCTCATGCGACGCTTATTTCCTAAGCCGCATTTTCTGCTCAAGAATGGGGGGTGCATAATCCAGCCGAGCAGATGGTTGGGTGATAACACTTCTCGTCAGCGAACCGTAAGACACCGTTCCCATAGTAGATGATGCCGCGTTTGCTATGGGAAGCTAGTGAGCTATGGTGATAACACACTCAATCATATTTGCTTTGTCACGTCTTACCATGGAGTGGAGCCAAAGGTGTTTTTTTACATCGCTTGGCCACCCGAGACTGTGCGTATTGATGCAAAACATGGCAATGCACAGCAGTATACTTCCTCCATACTTTGTGAATCTGAATTTAAAAATTGTCAAATGGTTTCTTAAAGAGTACTTACAATATTATATATGTTAAAAGCACATGGAGCAATTGTTTTTATCTCATCAATAGTATTTGATGTGCACGGCAATAATCGACCTCCTTTCTTAATGCATTTTCAAAAACCTAAAATCCTTCTCTTAAAGGGGTGCTCAAGGAGATTTCGTTGGCCTATTTATGGCCGTAACTCATTTTATGTATTCCAAGCATCCCAAAAATTTAAAGTTACAATCATGCGCGGCTTATTTCAATATAAAAAATGTGATAAAGATAGCAAATCTCAGACGTACAGATGGCGCCACCGAACCCGCCCGAATGTAGGCGAACAGCTAATGGCGCTCATCAGACAATCACGAGCGATGGCTTCACGTGTGGACAAGCAGCCAACCGGTCCTGCCTGTCTGCACGGGAACCCCTCGCTCACGAGTGTCTTTGGCCATTCGACGGCATTCATCTTGATTTGGTTCAGCCTTATTTACTATCTTTGATCACATTTTTAATAGTGAAATAAGCTGCACATCATTGTAAGTTTTGGACTTTTGGGACGCTTGGAGCACGTAGGTTGAGTTGGGAACATAAATAGGCCATCTTGGAATGCTACGGGGTGCCACTATAATTTATGTCAATTTTTATTTATATATATGCGCAATTCAGCATTTGAGTAAAACAAACTAGGAGCATAATTGCATACGTAAGTGGAAAGCCCATTTGTGTAGCCTGTATTTCTCCACTTTTTGTGCATTTGCTTGACAATGTTACTCATGCAGATCCATCTGGGACATGGCATCAAGATGCGAGAGACGGTTTTCAACCACGCCTTGAGCAAGGCTGCCACCCCCGGCCGCTTTATCAGGATGGTGAGCAGGTCGCTGTGGGAGCCTGCGGAGCTCTTTGACAGGAGCGTGTCGGGGCAAGCGTGCAGGCGTCTCCTCAAGGAGGGTGCAGTGGGGAAAAAGCCCCTGACACCCGAAAAAATTGATGCTCTGGCAGGTGGGTGCCCTTTTTATTTGCAAACTAGTTTTATTCCTGAGCTATTAAGAAAGAAATTATTGCTGATCAACCTGGAAGGGCATAGGATCTGTTGTGGCTGTGCTGTGCTTAGCTGTGCACGCAATGTGCGTGTAGTGTGAGTTATAATTTCCACGATTTGAGATATATTTATGAGCCTATTGTTAATTTTGCCTTGTGCAGCACACATGTACAGTAAGAGGCACTATGAGGTGAGACAAGGTGAATGGTGCAAACCGAGAAATGCCGTGTGGGTCTCAGTGCATGCTTTGCACACTGGGAGCAATGCCACGAGGCTCTATCTATTATGTTGCCCACAGCTAGGGGAAAGCAGATTGAACGCAGCAAGGCAGTCGAGTGATAAATTGACTCTGGTTAGCAGGCTAGACATGACAGAACATTCTTATTTCAGGGCTGATTTTTTTATGAATAGCTTGTGGTACACAGCCTGCATACCTTTCATCGCTTTCTTAGCACGTGTGGGCTGAATATTCATTTCGATGCGTGTTAATGATAGCACCCATTTATTTTCGCTGATCCTCGGACCATTTTTTTTTTTTTTTTTCACTCAGTTAAAATGACACTTTATTTATTTATTTATTTGCATACCTACATCACCTGAAGAGGCATTATAGTAGGGAGGGGCACAGACATAAAATTTGTACACTACAAACACAAGGTGAAACACAATTATTCAAGAAGTAATACACAACGGTAGTTAGGAGTAACATTGAATCTTTTGAAAAAGTAGCTCTGACAAGGCCGTTTCAACAATGTCAATTGGCATGCTATTCCAATCTTCAATGGATCATGAGAAAAAAGAGCATTTAAAACATCAGTTCTGCAGTCAAATGGACAAACTTTTCTTTCTGATACATAAGCTACAGTTTGAATGAAGATAAACGCTTAGAATTTACCGTCTAATGAAAAGTATTCAAGAGACTATCTTAGATATAATGCCAGTGAACTTCATCCTATATCCTGAGCTGTACTTGTGAGTGCAACGGACCCTTTCATCTCCCCTGTACTGATGCTCATATGAAAGTTTGTAGGCCCATTTCATAGAGATTTAGACGGGATTTGATCGTAACATTTGATGTGTGGTCTTCTTAGATGATCGGTGATGTGATTGGTCCAAGTCGTTTTGGAGCAGCAAAAAGAGGTTTTGGAGCATAAGCGCGCTCTTCTTTTTTTATTTGCACCACCGTAATTATTTTATTAATACTAATGTGTTGGCCTGTCCAGCTAAAAGGCAATGTCTACTTTGCCGTCTCAGTTATGTGGACTCTTTTGTTAGAATCGATTGCTCGGCAGGAACGATTTCCCCCAAACACAGAACTACAGGGTGTTTCAAATAGCGGCCAGGCTCTTTAAATCAACCTCAAAAGTCGGTTTCTTAACCTATCGCGCTACGATTTTGTGCAGCCCACAAGTGGTGCATTTTTTTCTAGAAAATTTGCAAAGAGCAAACTTACCTAAGGAAAAAGTAAAAAAAAAAAAAAAAAAGGCTTACTCTTATGGAAATGCAGCGAAGCCATCGGTCTTCAAACAATAGGGCACCCTATACCGTAGCACGATAGGATAAGAAAACGATTTTAGTGGTCGATTTAAAGAGCCTGCAGCTGCTATTTGAGACACCCTGTAGATATGTTTAGTTGTGTGTAGAAGCATCAGGCATGGTAACAAGATGGTTGATAAAGGGCAGCACAAACTGCCTTTAATGGTTATTCTAGGTACAAAGCCCCACTGATATAACGTTAAAACACAAAAACTTTCAGCGCCCAAATTTATGTTTTCTTCGAGTTATAGAGGTTGTAATAAAACTGCAATTATTAATCAGATTAAACCAAAGCTTCACAAAAAAACGTACAGAAGAGTCCATATAAATCGTCTCGCAATACGCAAAATTTCAAACTGAAAAAAAAAAAAAAAAAAAAAATGCCGCCAGGATATTGCAGTTTATTGTACAGGAAGTATTCACTGGCGCCCGTATCTGTATGCACGACTGCTGAGCGCGTGCCCACGGTAGGCATCCGCAATTATTTTGACACATGCATTCCAAACCACGAAGACTGCCGGTCTTAGCAGCCTATTAATGTGAGCTTGTTCCGAGCATCCGCTAAATCTAGCATACTCATATATGGCATCCAGACCGTTCTAATAAAGAGCTTCAGGCAGGCGCCATCTTCGGAGTTTGTGCGTAGGGCTCACGTTTTCCTCGCTTCAGGCGTGCTGGGTTGTGAAAATCGCATGGGCTGTGGATTTGTATACATTGGAAAGGTGTATACAAGTCAAATTTTTTGTTTTAGAAATAGTGAGACGTTTTGTTCTGGAGGAGTGCTTGCCCCTTAGCATGCAGGTGCACTTCGGTGAAGCAAGACACATAAAATTGCGATGCTTACATTGCGGTTGCCACTTATCTGCTGTACACAAGTCCGCGGTGAGAAGCGCACTCAACGAAACTAACCTGCCAGAATAGACCATGGAGCGCGAGAATTATTGTGAAACGTCCGAGTGCTCTCAGTCTTTCATATCAAATGCAGTCGGATAATAACATTGTTTGAGAATCGAGAGTTTTGAAAACTTGCTTAAGCTTATCGTAATGATCCAGCCGGGTAGCGATGCCTGAGCTATTGTACTTTCAGAACTAATTGAAGTGAAATGAAGTTTTGGTGCAATGTTGGTGCAAATTCCTCGTGTTATGGTAAAATGTAGCAGGGTAAGCGCTTTGGCATAGTTTGGCACAAATGGTGCAGCAATCATATCACTGGATGGTACTAAATAGGTCTGCAATGTTAATTTTCAATAACGAAAATGAAGTGGAGTTGCCCTTTCAGACATGTTTATGTTCACGGTAGTCACCTTCTCCTGGTAACTTAATAGAATAATAAACTCTGAATTGCTTGGTCCTAGATTCGATTCCTGCCGGTTGCTGGCGGTAAATGGTCTCATTTTGATTAGCGGAATAATTATTTAAATTCATTGATGCTGCAATAGTTTTTTCTATTATTATTATTAAATTCTGTGTGCTCTTTGGAATAATTATTGCCTGCTATGGGGTTATTGGTGCTTCATTGGGCCTTGGCATGTATATAGCTGTTTTTCGTGTCACTTTTATCTGTTGCTCTCTTATGAAATCCAGTACTAGAACACAGTACGTATTACAATGTGCAAGGAACTGACAACCTAAGGTAAAGCATTTTTAGTCGAAACCTCTGATCTGAGCAATGACAACAAAAAGCAACTATGCAATTGTCTTGCTTGCAGTGGCCTACAGCCGCTTCGCATTGAAGGAGGGGCAGGGCAAGAAGGAGGGAGGCAAGAAGGAGGGAGACAAGAAGGACGACAAGAAAGGCCCGAAAAAACCAAGGGACATTGTCAAAGACCTAATGGGTGACTACTTGGTAGACAAGAACAGGGAGGAGCAGAGGGCCCAGAAACGGAAGAAGTCCTCTGCCTGTGAGAGTGTGTGATCTGTAAATTTTCCCTTTTTTTTTGCATATATGTCAGGGGTGGCCAGGATGACCCTGCCGAAGAGCCGCAAACAAAACCATGATACTTCCAGGAGCCACGGGGGGGGGGGGGGGACTTTGTTCGGGGCAATAAACAAACCTCGAACTACTTTCAATCTGTCTGAGTCAAAAGCAGTCCAAGTGTACTTTAGGTAGCAGTAGCACGAGACTACCAAGCCGCAAACTGTCTTTCGATTTAAATCGCATTCCATTTCTCTTTTTGGGAAAGTGCTCGTGTAACAGGGAGGGAGACAGGGGAGGGGGGGGTAGGGAGCCGAGAGTCACACTTTACCACGCGAAGAGCCGCATGCGGCTTGCGAGCCGCAGCTTGGCCACCCCTGATATATGTCATCCACATTTTTTAATGGCGGCAGAGTTGTTGCCTATTATGTTTTATTTTTTTTCTGTCATGAGTGTCGAGGAATATTTTAATTAGCATAGAACATTTTGATTGATGCTTTCTGTTCTTGAGCACATAGGTTGGGGTGTACCATTTTTTTATTTTATGTCGATTGGTCTATTTTCATATTTTTCGTATCTGATCTTGGAGGATACATTTTGTATATGTTAGACTATTTTTTTGTTCTCTAATTATTTTATGCCATTTTGGAATAGAATAAAACCGCACATTAAAATACACTTATTAAAGTGGCAGTAGAAAGAGCTTAGCAACACGTAGGTCCTGCCAGTGGTTTATCCAACTCTTGGGAGTGTCACCTGTTCTTGGAGGGCTGCTTGTGCAGGAAATTTGGGGACGGGAAGGGGTGTCAGGTAGTGTTGGGGAACTGTGTCAATTCTCTTGAAAGAAAAAGAAAATGCTTCTAGAAACATATTGCAGGACCTTGAATTCGCCCTCAGCATCTGCTATCTGTTCACGACTTCGCAGCACGGGTTCATTACGGGACGGTCAGTTGAAAGCAACTTGTGCTCCTTTTGCATTTCACTACACCAATTGTTACCAACAGAGGACAGGTAGATGCTATTTATTTTTATATGTCTAAAGCATTCGATAAAGTTGATCATGAGCTATTGCTCCACCAATTATTGTTATACGGTTGTTGTTCTGAACTACTTCGTTAGTTTCAAAGCTACCTGTCATATCGTGCGAATCATGTTCGAATTTTTAGTGTCCCTTCTTAACTATTTTACTCAACTTCAGGTGTCCCCCAGGGGTCTATTTTCTGGGCCTCTTCTGTTCTGATATTTGTGAATGATATAGCCTTATGTATAAAAAAAGCTGAGCTCCTACTCTTTGCGGATGATATTAAGATTTTTATGCGCGTTGCTACTCCTCATGATTGTAGTGCTCTTCGGCACGAAGTGAAGAACATACTGCAATGGTCTTTGGCAAATAATTTGCTCCTAAATCCTACCAAAACTAAGGTTCTCTCTTTGAGCAGACGACACGCTGTTATGCATTTCACTTACTTTTTGGGAGGAACTCCAACTGAACACGTGACTGTGATGAAAGATCTCGGTGTGTGCCTTGATAGCGCGTTGTCATTCAATGCTCATGTTTCCTTTATTGTTGGCCGTGCGATGAAAACTCAATATCATATATCTCGTATAACTAAAAAGTTCAGACGCCCTGCTTGTACGATTTGTTTATTTTGTGCTTTAGTTTGGTCACGGCTTGAATTTGCCTCTGTTGTTTGGAATTCTCTAACAGGTACGCAGTCTTCAAGTATTGAATCAGTGAAAAAAAGAATGATACGCATTTTATATGATAGACACTTTGATTTTCACTTTTATTATGATTATGAATTCCTTCTTAAGAGCGTTTTACTTAAGTCTTTGTCAAATAGAAGATTCGAGCGTGATCTGATTTTTTTGCACAGGGTGGTAAATGGTTGGACTGATGCAAATCAACCTCTGAATTCTGTCGATTTTCATGTTCCTTGTTGCTTTACCAGAAATTTTACTGTCTTATATTCAATTCATGTCTAAACTATCACCACTGTCCCGTATGCAAATTTCATTTAATACAGTTGCATCGTCTAGCTTGGACATCTTCACAGATCTCCCAGTTTTTCGCCGGAACTTGGCAAGTCGAGTTGAAAATTGAAACTCTTACATTTTGTGTCAAGTGTGCTACCTATTTGTAGTCATGCTAATTTGTACATTTTAAGCTGTGTGTGTGCTGTGTTTCTTCTTTTTGTCTTCTGTGTGCCAATGTGATGACCCGCGTGGTTGTTTTTGGGCACATTAAATAAACAAATTATTATTATAATCTGTACTACCATAATACCTAGCAAGACTTTTTATATGTTTTTAATTTACATACACATTTAAATACCATATGTTTCTTTTCCTGTGTGCATAATTTTTTATGTGTTCTTTTTAATTATTTCAGTGCTGCTGAAGTAAAAAAGACGAAAGGAATAAACTTGAAAATGGCATTCGCTTGCCCCCAATTTCTTGGTCAGGTTTGGGGGTGGTCAGCCCGTAGTGGCCGGGTCCAGTGGTGTACCAACTTGTTTTTGAGTGGGGGGGGGGGGGGGGCAAACCAGACCCCCCCCCCCTCCCCCAGGGCCGGGGCGGTGCCCTTTGTATCCCCGGTGCACCGACAGATAGTGTTTGCCGTGCAGTGGCAGCTTTTTCAGGGGGGCCGAAACGCATGCCTTGCCACCCACTCTGAGAACTGGGGGGGGGGGGGGGGGGCAAGCGCCCCCTTGCCCCCCCGGTCGGTACGCCCATGACCGGGTGAGTTTTTTACCGGACTAGACAGCTCCGGCTTTTGCCGGACTGGACAGGGCCGGCTTTTTCCGGACTGGACAGGACCGGCTTTTTCCGGAATAGACCGGCTTTTTCCGGACTGGACAGGACCGGCTTTTTCCGGAATAGACCGGCTCTTTCCGGACTGGACAGGACCGGCTTTTTCCGGACCAGCCAATCTGGAAAAAACCGGTTATTAAAAATCCGGTGTTTTTTGTTCCATATGATAATTTTAAACCGGCTTTTTTAGTAGGGTTTTGCTTATGTTTTTCGTCCTCCCGCAGTTCGTGAGCGTGTCGGCGCGTGGGTCCCCAACTAACTGGAGTCACGATGACGGCGCGGTTTTCTTCCGGCATCCGGACGACAATCTTCAACCTGCCAATCACTGGTCGACAGCACCGTCCTGTCTTGGTATCAAGTTCATTGAGAACCTCGTTCACACCACGTCATCAGCAGGGACATCGACAGCGGCAGCTATAATGGAGCTCCCCTTGCGACAGCGCGCCAGTGGGCATGGAGGCTCTGCAGCCATGAAGTTGCTTATGTTTTTCGTCCTCCCGCAGTTCCTGAGCGTGTCGGCGCGTGGGTCCCCAACTAACTGGAGTCACGATGAAGGCGCGGTTTTCTTCCGGCATCCGGACGACAATCTTCAACCTGCCAATCACTGGTCGACAGCACCGTCCTGTCTTGGTATCAAGTTCATTGAGAACCTCGTTCACACCACGTCATCAGCAGGGACATCGACAGCGGCAGCTATAATGGAGCTCCCCTTGCGACAGCGCGCCAGTGGGCATGGAGGCTCTGCAGCCGTGAAGTTGCTTATGTTTTTCGTCCTCCCGCAGTTCGTGAGCGTGTCGGCGCGTGGGTCCCCAACTAACTGGAGTCACGATGACGGCGCGGTTTTCTTCCGGCATCCGGACGACAATCTTCAACCTGCCAATCACTGGTCGACAGCACCGTCCTGTCTTGGTATCAAGTTCATTGAGAACCTCGTTCACACCACGTCATCAGCAGGGACATCGACAGCGGCAGCTATAATGGAGCTCCCCTTGCGACAGCGCGCCAGTGGGCATGGAGGCTCTGCAGCCATGAAGTTGCTTATGTTTTTCGTCCTCCCGCAGTTCGTGAGCGTGTCGGCGCGTGGGTCCCCAACTAACTGGAGTCACGATGAAGGCGCGGTTTTCTTCCGGCATCCGGACGACAATCTTCAACCTGCCAATCACTGGTCGACAGCACCGTCCTGTCTTGGTATCAAGTTCATTGAGAACCTCGTTCACACCACGTCATCAGCAGGGACATCGACAGCGGCAGCTATAATGGAGCTCCCCTTGCGACAGCGCGCCAGTGGGCATGGAGGCTCTGCAGCCGTGAAGTTGCTTATGTTTTTCGTCCTCCCGCAGTTCGTGAGCGTGTCGGCGCGTGGGTCCCCAACTAACTGGAGTCACGATGACGGCGCGGTTTTCTTCCGGCATCCGGACGACAATCTTCAACCTGCCAATCACTGGTCGACAGCACCGTCCTGTCTTGGTATCAAGTTCATTGAGAACCTCGTTCACACCACGTCATCAGCAGGGACATCGACAGCGGCAGCTATAATGGAGCTCCCCTTGCGAAAGCGCGCCAGTGGGCATGGAGGCTCTGCAGCCGTGAAGTTGCTTATGTTTTTCGTCCTCCCGCAGTTCGTGAGCGTGTCGGCGCGTGGGTCCCCAACTAACTGGAGTCACGATGAAGGCGCGGTTTTCTTCCGGCATCCGGACGACAATCTTCAACCTGCCAATCACTGGTCGACAGCACCGTCCTGTCTTGGTATCAAGTTCATTGAGAACCTCGTTCACACCACGTCATCAGCAGGGACATCGACAGCGGCAGCTATAATGGAGCTCCCCTTGCGACAGCGCGCCAGTGGGCATGGAGGCTCTGCAGCCGTGAAGTTGCTTATGTTTTTCGTCCTCCCGCAGTTCGTGAGCGTGTCGGCGCGTGGGTCCCCAACTAACTGGAGTCACGATGACGGCGCGGTTTTCTTCCGGCATCCGGACGACAATCTTCAACCTGCCAATCACTGGTCGACAGCACCGTCCTGTCTTGGTATCAAGTTCATTGAGAACCTCGTTCACACCACGTCATCAGCAGGGACATCGACAGTGGCAGCTATAATGGAGCTCCCCTTGCGACAGCGCGCCAGTGGGCATGGAGGCTCTGCAGCCATGAAGTTGCTTATGTTTTTCGTCCTCCCGCAGTTCCTGAGCGTGTCGGCGCGTGGGTCCCCAACTAACTGGAGTCACGATGAAGGCGCGGTTTTCTTCCG